GTTGCCCAGGCAGGTCTCGAACCCGCGGGCTCAGGCAATCCACTCACCTCAGTCTCCCAAAGCGCTGGGATTACAGGCTGAGCCACCAAGCCCAGCCAATATTCACTTTCTATAACTAATGCATTTAAACTTTAGTTTACATTTAATGTAGTTTTTTTTTAATTTAGTTTAAATTAAATTAGTACCAAAAAAAATCAAAACCCAAACCTCAGAAATATTTTCAACGTTAATCATTATTTTCACCCTAATAATCCAAACACACAAGAACACACTATGAAGATACTGATTTTTGCCATTACACTAAAGAAATATGTTTAAAATATTTTAACACCATCAGTGAATACCAGCAACCACACAGTAATACACGTCAGTTTGGAAAAAAAATACAGAACATTCAAGGAAAAGTCCTGATATTCTTGCTTCAACTACGTGCAAGAAGGGTAAGTTTTACATACCAGCAAACCAGCAGGACCAATGTTGGGAGAAGTTTGATCTCTGTGAGGGTAGTCATTCAGTGAAGACAAAAAAGAAGGATGCAGAGGATGGAGGTAGCAGTAGAATAAACCCAAGGTTCTCTGTTATCCAACCCCTAACCAGACCACAAAAGAATCATGATCAGGGCCACTGGAAAACCATAGATTCTTCAATATCAATGTGTTCTGCTAATTTCCAGTTTTTAGTCTTAAAAACTGAATGTGTAAAACTGTCTGCTATCAGACTACTGCTTGTACACAGAACTGACAAAATTCTTAATTTTGACAAAAAAAAGACCTACTTTGCTAATTTATCTTTTTAGAGTTTGGCATTCTGAAGAGGTGTCTAGTAGCAGTATGAATATATGTTTGAAAACTGAAACTAAGTAGAAGAAGAGAAAAGGAAACGCATGAAGGGAACAAATGACCAGAAAAAGAGTGATGGAAGTAATAATAATGCAAGAAAAATTATTTCCTTGTACAACACAAAATACAGAGAAACAATATATAACAAAATTACTTTAAAAGTTTAATAAAAGGGGAAAAATTCTGTATTTTCAGCAAATATGCTTAAAATGAAATATAGATTAAGTATCCCTAATCCAAAAATGTGAATGTGAAATTAATGCTCCAAAATCTAAAATGTGTGAGCACCAATATGACGCTCAAAGGAAATGCTCATTGAAGCACTTCAGATTTCCAGATTAGGGTTGCTCAACTGGTAAGTATAGCAAAATTACTTTAAGAGTATAATGCAAATACTCTAAAATAAAAAATAAATAAAATAAATCCAAAACATGCATTCCCAAGCATTTTTTATAAGAGGAATTCAATCTGTATTTAATTCCTCCTCCATTCTGTGTATTCTGCACAAAGGAAAAGAATACAGGAGCAAAGTAACTAGAGACTAGTAAAAAATTGTTTTTCATTAAATAATAATTAGTTTCATATACACTAAAACTGTATTAAATCCTTAAAAAAAACTGTGATAATTCATACTGCATACACACGCATTTTAAGAAAACAATATATACAACGAGTTGCTCAGTATATTCTTTTATGAGAAATTTGGTAGTATGCACATGTTGAAGAAAGAGAACTAGGTTGGTAATGACTAAGGTTCTGTAAGTAGAAAAAAGTGTAACAATTTATATTCTGCTTTTAAAAAAATCATATTCGGACCAGACGCAGTGGCTCCTATCTGTAAGACTAGCGCTTTGAAAGGCCAAAGCAAGAGGACTGCCTGAGCCCAAGAGTTCAAGACCAGCCTAGGCAACATAGCTAGACCTTGTCTCCTAAAAAAATTAAAAAACTAGCAGGGCATGGTGGTGCATACCTGTCATTTCAGCTACTCAGGAAGCTGAAGTGGAAAGATTACCTGAGCCCAGGAGATTGAGGCTGTGGGGAGCCGTGATCATGCCACTGCACTCTAGCCTGTGACAGAGTAAGACATCAACTCAAAAAAATCCATAAAACAAAATAAATTAATTATTTTTAAAAATTAAATATTAGCCGGGCTCGGTGGCTCAGCCTGTAATCCCACGCCTTTGGGAGGCTGAGGTGAGTGGATTGCCTGAGCCTGCGGGTTCGAGACCCGCCTGGGCAACTTGGCGAGACCTCATCTCTACAATAAATCAAAAACTAACTGGGCGTGGTAGTGCAGGCCTGTAGTTCCAGCTACCTGGAAAGCTGAGGCGGAAGGATGGCCGGAGCCCAGCAGGTCGAGGCTGCAGTGGCCGGGAGCGACCACTGCACTTCAGTCTGGGTGACAGAGTGAGACTCCAACTCAAAAAAAAAAAAAAAAAAAATTAAAAATTAAAAACCATATTCTTTTTTCCCTTAGATAAGGGACAGACTAGATTTTCTGTTTTTTTAGTAAGTTTTCGGATCCTCTGTTTTCAATTTTCAGAGTCTATTTAAAACATTAATCTAATGAATTTTACAATGGAGACAATTATTCTATAATTTTCCTGTAGGCCTCTGATCATGATCATTAACACTGGTTGTGTGACTTTAAACCTACATCTTCTAGAAAGGGTCCCTATGGTGAAACAATTAAAATGACAGGATATCAGAATCACCAAAAAAGCACTGAAACAGGCATATTCGCAAAAGCAACAACAAAAAAACCACCTACGCTTCTAGTTCTTGTTTCATCTTCGTGAATTCTTCCTTTGTCATCGACCCTTCTCCTTCGCCAAGTTTCTGTAGTTTTTCCCTTGAAGCATCAAAGTCAGGTCTTGGTGGTGCTGGTGGGATCTACAACAGAACCAAATCGTTAATTTTAAGGGACTATTTCATTTCTTGAAACACTGTACTACTGCCAAAATAAAAAGACAGTGTCTGGGAAAGCTAAAGTTATCCTGAATGAGGTGAGCACCAAAAACACCCAAATTCAGAATAGAGAACTTGACTATTTCAAAAATTACGATCCTTGAGGTCCTTTACACCATAGAAGAAATACAGCATAGCACTATTTTTCAGTATTAGAACAGCGGTTCTCAAACTTCCAATCTGCAAACTCCTACATTAATAACTTGGAGTCTTTAAATTCATATGTGCACTAATCTCTGACTACATACTGATTCTAATACGTACAACTCAGCAAGGTATGTTAAAAAGAGTCCTGAAACCAGGCACAGTGGCTCATGCCTGTAATCCCAGCACTTCGGGAGGCTAAAGTGAGAGGACTATCTGAGCCCAGAGGTTAGAGACCAGTCTGGACAACTTGGCAAGACCTCGTCTCTAAAATAAATTTTAAAAAATTAGCTGGGTGTGATGGCATGTGCCTATAGTTCCAGGATACTTGGAAGGCTGAGGTGGAAAGATTACCTGAGCCCAGCAGGTAGAGGCTGAAGTGGCCGTGGACATGCCACTGTACTCCAGCCTGGGCAAGAGTGAGACTCCATCTCAAAAAAAAAGAACGACGACAAGAAAAGGGTTACAGCAAGGAAAGCAATAGAAAAATCAGAAAGCATCAAGTATATAGTTCAGCACACATTCACTGAGTATTTACTGTGTGCTAGGCACAACAATGAGTACTAAATATAAAGATAAATAAGTCATGGTCTTCATCTTTCAGAACTGTTTAGCCTATGGAAGATTTAAAAGCAGTAAGAAAGTACCATCAGACCAGGCGCAGTGGCTCATGCCTATAATAAGACCAGCCTGGGCAACTTGGTGAGACCCCATCTCTACAACAAATAAAAAAATTAGCCAGGTGTGGTGGTGTGTGCCAATAGTTCCAGCTACTTGGAAGGCTAAGGTGAAAGAATCGCCTGAGCCCAGCAGGTTGAGGCTGCGGTGGCCGGGAGCGTGCCACTGCCCTCCAGCCTGGGTGACAAAGTGAGATTCCAACTCAAAAAAAAAAA